AAATAACCTATATAGGGAGTCTATCTACCATAACCAACCTAGATCTACAAAAAATTCCTAGGCAAACGAGAAGCCCTTATGACCAAAACATACCAATACCAAAATGCAGCTAACACCCAAGAGCCTAGCTCAGTGGGTACACCCAAGAACTGTTGAAATACAGACCTGTGCTCGAATCCAGATGATGGAACTTGACGAGTAAAACCGACTACTAATGAATTGCTTGGGGCCGGTAAGCTCAATGATAATATCTCAAGGCCGTCACCCCTTATAAAAAAATAAAATAAAATAAAAAATGCAGCTAGCTATAATTGATCTAAAAGTTCCCGAAATACAATCGCCTTGAAAAATTAACCAAAATGCAGCTAACTATAATTGATCTAAAAGTTCCCGAAATACAATCGCCTTGAAAAATTAACACTACTTTTTGTCTTATAAAGCTCCGATAATTCAGGGCCTATGAAATCGGCCCTCACCCAAGGTCGTTGGTCTAAAGTCGGCCAAAGCACCTTATTCAATGAGAGCTGTACGCTTGTTCCGCAAGCTAGTTCCTGTCTGATCGTAACCAGTCAGCAAAGGAGAGAGAACCCTCCGGGGAGGTAGAGACTATCTTGTCGTTCTGAAGCCATGTCTGAGAAAACCAATAGCGGCCTTTGCGCGGGTGGGCCCGGACGTTGTGCCAATCCACAGTGATGGTCTGTCTAATCAAAGCCTTAATAGCACCAATCTGTGCTTGAAAGGCGGTAGATTCTTGATTGAAATCTTTTTTTTTTCCTGCTCAACGATTACTTACTTACTTACGTACTTACTGAAGCCTTCTTCTTCCTTTTTGGAGTGAATCGACCAACTGTTCCCGAAAATAACAATTGGAAAAAAAAAACTGTGCTTTCTTGTTCCTTGAGGTGATGAGGATCCTCGTCGTGCTCAGTGTGCATCCGCACGCCACGTGGCCCGTGCAGTTGTTTCCTTTACGCACTTTTCTCGTCGTGCTCAGGGTGCATCCGCACGCCACGTGGCAATTAGCGTTGTTGTTGCGGAGGTAACGATATCAGGCCAGTGATCAGGCGAAGAGAGAAAAAGGGGAGGAGGCCTGTGCCTGCGTGCGTGCATGCGTGGGGACCACCAAGTAGCGCATATAAAATTTTATTTTTTTCCTTTCTTTCAATTCTTGCTCTCGTTTTTCCTAATTTTTTGAATCCATTGCATCAAATAGAATGACCTGAAAAAAAAAAATGGAGAGGGGCTCTCATACTCGAAGACAATGGGCGAGGAGAGGGGAGGTTTTGCGCCCGCCCGCGGGCGAGCGAGGGTCCGCGCAACCCGCGCACCTGTCACGTGGCGCGTGCGCGGGGAAGGGCAAGCGGGGGAGAAGGAAGCCACGCGGACACGGGGGGCAGGTGAGGGCGGTGGAACACAGCTGAAGGCGGAATGCTGACGCACCCGTACTAATACGACTTTCTGGGACGTATTTGGCCGCAATCACGCCCAGATTCGACCAAAAGAAAATAAGTCCCTTCCCACATACATTCGGAAGAGGATCAGGGAGAGGGAGAGGGAGAGGGAGAGGGTGGGTTGTGTGAGCTTCCACCTCTAGGACGAGATGGCTGGTGCGACTGCGAGCTCAGTAGCAGCTGCTACAGCGCGGCGAAATGGTATGATGAGGACAAGGCCGATCTGATAAACGATTACCGTCTTCCCCCGAATAGAACGTACCGGCCATTACGGACGTATTTGGCTCACATGTCAGTGCGGATGCAGCCAAAATGACCGTACGTTCTATTCGGGGGAAGAAGGTAGGTCGGTGGGCGGCATGAGAGACAAGGGCGACAGTGGTATCCTGATGATGATGATGATGATTATGAAATCTTGGTCGCCCGGCTTGTTCTTTACCTGCTCTTCCATCATCATCATCATCATCATCATCTTGTGATTAAAAAAAAAAAAAGAGCTGATCGTTTACAAGCCGATTCCTTTGGATCTTGTCTCGGTTTCCATTTTTAGAAAGGGCGACGGCCTTGATATATCATCGGGAAACTGACCGGCCCCCTTTGGGTAATTCAGCAATTTCGGTCATCTAGTTCGTCAGGATTCGAACTCGGGGGTCTGTATTTCAACAGTTTGTGGGTGCACTGTTTTTTTTTTTTTTTTTTTTTTTTTTTTTTTTTT